TTTGACCTCAAATCATTGCCGGAGCTTTGACCCCAAATCACTGCTGGAGCTCCGACCCCAGAATCACCGCTGGAGCTTTGACCCCAAATCATTGATGGAGCTCCCACCCCAAAATCATTGCTGGAGCTCCAACCCCAAATCACTGCTGGAGCTCCGACCCCAAAATCATTGCTGGAGCTCCGACCCCAAATCACTGCTGGAGCTCCGACCCCAAAATCACTGCTGCAGCTCCCACCCCAAATCATTGCCGGAGCTTTGACCTCAAATCATTGCTGGAGCTCCGACCCCAAATCACTGCTGGAGCTCCAAGCCCAGAATCACTGCTGGAGCTCCCACCCCAAAATCACTGCTGGAGCTCCGACCCCACATCACTGCTGGAGCTCCGACCCCAGAATCACTGCTGGAGCTCCCACCCCAAATCATTGCCGGAGCTTCGACCTCAAATCATTGCTGGAGCTCCCACCCCAAAATCATTGATGGAGCTCCGACCCCAAAATCACTGCTGGAGCTTTGACCCCAAATCACTGCTGGAGCTCCGACCCCAGAATCACTGCTGGAGCTTTAACCCCAAATCACTACTGCAGCTCCCACCCCAAATCTCTGCTGGAGCTCCCACCCCAAATCTCTGTCACAGCTCCCACCCCAAATCACTGCTGCAGCTCCCACCCCAAACATCTGTCACAGCTCCCACCCCAAATCACTGCCGGAGCTTTGACCCCAAATCACTGCTACAGCTCCCACCCCAAATCTCTGCTGGAGCTCCCACCCCAAATCACTGCCGGAGCTTTGACCCCAAATCACTGCTGGAGCTACGACCCCAAAATCACTGCTGGAGCTCCCACCCCAAATCTCTGCCACAGCTCCCACCCCAAATCACTGCTGGAGCTCTGACCCCAAATCATTGCTGGAGCTCCGACCCCAAATCACTGCTGGAGCTCCGACCCCAAAATCACTGCTGGAGCTTTGACCCCAAATCTCTGTCACAGCTCCCACCCCAAATCACTGCTGGAGCTCCGACCCCAAATATCTGTCACAGCTCCGACCCCAAATATCTGCCACAGCTCCGACCCCAAATCTCTGTCACAGCTCCGACCCCAAATCTCTGTCACAGCTCCGACCCCAAATCT